CGACTTCTGGTTTACTCAGCTCGTGAGGGTACCTTCCATGCAGTGCCTTTGCTTTCCATAATGTTATCCATAATGTTTCCATATAGTTATATTATTATTATTATTATTATTATTATTATTTTGTTAGTTTGAAGGTTTGTCACCTAAGGCCTTTAGCCTTTTTAATTATTAAATTTAATCATATATTAAATTTTGTAGATAAGATTGGCCTCTTTCAGGAACTTTATTATTTTGTCAGTTGCCTGCTTGTCGGTGCTGAGGTCTATATTCATGTGGCCTCTCATACCCCATCTGTGTCTACGTTTTGAGAGATCTACACAGTCTGTCAGAAGTCTTCTGCAGCTGCAGATGGGTTGTTCTTCATTTCTTAGCATGTATGAAGAAGTTATTCTTGCATGACCTCTTCTTAGTCTGGTTATGCACACTAGTTCTCGTCGAGGGTAGCTGACATTTGGTGACCATTTACTGATATTCTGTTTAATGGGGTGTAGTTTCGAGTGAAAACTGTTCCACATGGTCTGTCATTCTGTGAGGATGCACTTAGAGGAAGCATTTCTTGCATCTTGAGGTCGTATTTCAGTATCCATTTCTGATTGGATGTTCACGGCATTTCGTGCTGCAGAATCGGCTTCTTCATTGCCTGGGATACCCACGTGTCCAGGGCACCAGATGAACGTAAGTGATGCTTCTCACTGCTCTAATTTATGGCATGATATGAGAATCATTTGTAGCAGTGGGTCTACAGTTTGGCGTCTGTCTATTGCAGTGAGAAGACTTAGCGAGTCTGTACAGATGAATTTTCTTGAATTGAGAGTTTCACAGTGTCTCGAAGATTGCAATACTGTATGCAATTCGGCAGTGTACATATTTGCTTCTGGTGGAAGTGTCTAAGTTTTCGATAAGTCTTCAGTTACAAATGCGCTTCCAACCCTATGTTTTGGTTTTGAACCATCTGTGTAGATTATTGTGTGATTTGCCATGTACTCTTCAAGAACTGATGGAAATCTGACCTTTCAATATATGGGAAGGCATTCTCTTTTCTTTATGCTCGTAGTGTCGAGTCTTACTTCTGGCATTTTCAACATCCAAACTGGAATTTCATATGTTCGTGTTTCAAAACTGGTGGTAGGACGATGTTATAACATTTGGCTATCTCGATTGCACGTATGTTGGCTGGACGAGTAGCTGAAGGTCTTTGATCGTAAATATCTGCTAGCTTAGGTCGAATCATCAATGAGTGAATTAAATGTTTTGGTAGTGACAGCAATTTTGATCTATAGTTGAGTAGCTTTGTTTGTCGTCTGTGATGTAGCGACATGGTGCTGGTTTCACAGTAGAGGCTTGAGGAAGGAATAGTGCGGAACGCGCCGGCTGCATATCGGAGGCCTGCATTGTGAACGGGATCTAGTTTCCTTAAACTTTATTGTCTGGCTGCGGAGTATACTGCACATCCATAATCTATTTTGGACATCACCATGGATTTGTACTGGCGAAGTAAGATGTCTCTTATCTGCTCCCCAATTTATATGGGAAATGCATCTTATTACGTTCACAGCTGTTTTGCATATACACAAGGTGTATTTTAGATGCTTATCAAAACCAAACCAAGGAATTTTGTCGTTTCATTGTACGTCAGTTGAACACTATTCAATGCCAGCTCTGGATCTCTGTTACTTTTCGGTTTCGTACAGAAGTGAACGCATTTGGTTTTGGCTGCTGTGAATGAGAAACCAATGTTTTTCGCGTTCTATAATTTATTGATGGCATTTTGAATTTGGTCACGCCCGGTGATTTGGCTGAGTAGAATATAGCAATGTCATCTACATACATGCATTTTCTAAATGACGCTTCTATGCCGTCAAACATCTCGTCGATCGCTATGATAAAGAGCGTGCCACTCAATGGAGAGCATTGCGGTACACCATTCTCTAGTACGTAGCTTTCTGAGATGAACTGCCCATCGCGAACTTAGAAGGATCTGGTACTAAGGAAGCTGGATATAAATTTTGGTAGATTTCCTCTTATTTACCAGTTATATGACCGTCTCAGAATATTATATCGCCAGGTCTGACCAAAAGCTTTTTCCAGGTCAGAGAATACGGTAACCATATGTTTTCTTTTGATGAAGGTATTCTGAATTGCGTTTTCTATATATATTAGCTGGTCGATTGTAGAGTGATGTCTGTATCCGCACTGATGTATGTTCAGGAGGTTGTTTTTTTCGAGATTTTCCTGGACAGCATGTCAGCGAAACCGGGCGATAATTTTCAGATTTCAATGGATCCTTGCATGCCTTTAAAAGTGGAATTATTATCGCTTCTTTCCAGACTTACTTTGGGTCCAAATGTTATTGAATATGTTAACCAAGTGGACAGTATTTCCTTCGGTAACCGACGTAGTATGATGTAAGGGATCTTACCTGATCCTGCTGCGGCGTCTCCAGCTGTATTTATGGCGTCTGGCAATTCTCTCCATGTGAAAAGAACGTTATATGGCTTATTTGTATCGGTTGTGAAGTCAAGTACTTCTTCTTTCTTTTTCTCGAGAAAGTCTTTAGGATAAGTGTTTGTGTTACTAGCTCTGGAGTATTGGGTCGCTAATGCGTTGGCTATTCCGTCAGGGTTGGAGATTAGTTGTCCTTCGTGTTCTATGCATGTGATTGGACTGAAAACATTTTCCCCAGCTATTGACGGGATTTTCTGCCATATTTCCATGACATTGGTCGTCCGAGTTATGGTTGTTACGTAATTTTTCCAGCTTGATCGTTTTGCTGTTAGTATTTTTCTGCAAGCGAGTGCACGCAGACGGTTGAAAGCAATAAGATTGCCTTGGGTTGGTGCACGCCTATATCTATTGAGGACTTTTCTTTTCTCCCTTATTGCTTCTTTGGTCTCCGTATTCCACCGCGGTACTGGAATCCTAGATGAGCGGCCACTAGTCTGTGGAATATATTTTACAGCAGAAGATATTACAGTGCTGGTGAAATCAGTATCGTCTTTCTCTGTGTTTCCACTGACATTTATTGGTGGTATATATCTGGTGAAGTCGGATCAGTCTGTACTGCTAATACACTGCGTTCTGTAGGTCTGTTTCCGTAAATGTACTGCGTTCTTTGGTATGTTTATTGATATCAACAGAGGAAGAATCATGTGATCACTCTGATGAAGATCTGGCTGTAGTTTCCACGTCAGCCGTGGTGTAAGATTTGGACTG